AGAAATACCGGTATTTAGGAAGCCAATTCTTCATTTTCTGTGACTATAACAACCAGTTTATTCCTGTGAAGAACCCCTGCAGTTAGTTAAAGTGAGATTATATTACCCATCAATAAACCTGCTTTGTATCAATTCTCCTGAAGGGTTTTGTCCCCTGTGTTCTCTGATCTTACTCCTACTAATTATTGAGTGAACATTCAAACAGATGAGCACAACAGGACGGTGTGAGTCATTCTCGATTGATTTACCTTGATTTTACATTTTCCTTCAAGTTGTCAAATTCTTCTATGGCCTTCCCTGCTACCCTATCTTTCACCTCAGCTCCAAGACCCTCTGAGATATCTAAGCTCATCTAATTCACAAGTTGAGTGCATCTTTGATTTTAATTGTTTCATTATTTGTGGCTATATCCTCAGCTGCCTGAGCTTTAAGCTTTATGATTCCTCCCCTAAACCTTCCCCACTTCCTGACCTTTCTTGCCTCCTTTAAGAATTTCTACAAAACTTAACTTTTGACCAAGATTTTGGCAATTTACCTAATATTGCTTCATGTGACACACTTTATAACACTCCTATGGACCATCTTGGGGTGCCTTATTATGATAAAGGCAACATTTAAATAGAGGTTATTGTTGTATTTTCACAATAAGAAATGGAAAGATTTGAGGAATTTTGCTTCCTTTATACAGTAATTTTTGTGGCTTAGACAATTAGAAATTGTTTACAATGTCTGTAGAAAATCCCAAGCACTTAACAGGCTTCTGACAACATAACCTTTGCAACAAAAGGGTCCTTTTAGTAACTCCTTTCCAGCAAGAGTTGGAAGACATCATAGAGGAACACACAGGGCTGCAGTGACAGGGATAACAAATACAAAGGAGCATGCCTATTGAAATATAAAACTCTCAACAGACTGAATAGGCTTGGACAATATACTAGACTTTTAAGAAACTGCAGCAAATGTGTGTCTGACTAACACTGCTACCACAGCATTGTCTGTTGCAGTCAATGCCAATGCATCCTTCAACTTCTTTAAATCTTCTTTTATCCAAGCTGCCACAAGTGAATGTAGTAACATCAGTCAGTCTGTTGATGTCAAATTTGTTAAAGGAAACAATTTCTTCAAGTTTTCTATCAAGATGTGGAAACATCAAGGCTTTGTTTTGGATTTCAGACATCCCCCGTGTCCCAATTCATTTGGCAGGCTACATTAGATGAATCTACTGACCTCATGAAGAACAACAGCTTTGACTCTATTAAAATACACCTCGCTCACGCAGATCTGTGCCTTCTTCTCTGGAGGCTGTTAAGATGCTTTTATCTTGTGCTAATCCTTCTCCCAGACTTGCCCAGCCTCCACTCCCTAATCTTAGCCCTCACAAAATTAGTGAGAGGTTGGTTACTTAGAAATCACTGATACTTGGCTGATGACTTCTCTCAGAAACCCAGGTTCAATGGCGCCATGATCTGATCCATGGTTTGAATAAAGCTGCAACTACATCAATGTCTTCCTACAATACTGCTCACAAAGAGTGACAGACAATAAGGGTTTGTGACGTAAGTTTGCCCTGCAATGGGAAGAACACATGGAGCGACCTTCAGCTTGATGGCCAACAATACAGTGATGGCGTGGATGATGACAGTTACCTGCAGCCAGAACTCTTCAGCAGTATCTCATTGAAGAGTGCTTCAGTTGAACAAATGCTATTCTTCCACATTAACAGTTATGACCGGCATATCTACCAATCCTCAGGTGCTTTGCATCCAAACAGAGATCAACATTATTATTTGCATTATATAACATGTTCTAATTGTAATACTGCCCAAGATTGGTGGATGACTAGGCTCTTGTGCTGATCTGTAAGACAGAAAGCCAGTTGAAGTTCCTATACATTAGGACTAGCACCTTGTTCAAGGTGAAGGAGTTCATGGAGGACAAAGCCTGCAAGACATCAATATGAATACCTCTGAACAATGTTGTTGCTGTTGGAAGAGGCTGGGTATAGCTTTGTTATTCATTGAGGTAACTACATCCTCTGTGAATAACTGCACAGCATCAATAACCTGCAACAGGGTTCTACACAAGTTGATAGTGAACTCCCTTGCACTTCCTGAGATGCTACAGCAGGATCCCCATGAGGCTATCTAACATATTGAGCAATTAGTTGATATAAAGATCTCATTCATTTTTTAAAGCCTCAAATCCTGAAGCCTACCTCAGTCAACAGAATGAAGATATGAATTGGCTCAATTGAGCTTGTTTCCTGGGATGTCATTTCCAGCCATGTTATCTCCTGATCACTTGTGTTCAATGCCTCAGCCAGTGAAAATGCACTTGCTAACTCACTTGCTGTGATCTTCCTCAGGAATCTCTCCTGCCCCGCTTGTCAAGAAATTTGGCAAAGGTTATGCAGAGACTCTGTTTATTCAGTAAGACAGACATCTATCAAAGTTACAACCGCAGTGTTCAGGATAAAAGAAACTCTGAGGAGATTCAACAGCAGGTAGGGCTATTAAGGTTAGGTAGGCTGTGATTCTTCGAGAGTATTCTCACTGTATGCTGTCGTAAATGCAAGATGTCTGCTGGGTTTAGAAACAGGATCAAGCATGAGGGCACTCACATAGCAGCAGGAACAGCAAAGCAATGTGCCACAAATTGTCATATTGAATGTGTGACTGAGTTAAGCACCAAGGAAGAACGAGGAAAGATGCTTATACATCTTGTTCTACTTCACCATCAGCCTAGTCATGCCAATGCTGTGTGCCCCATCTCCGGTAGTTAGATTGTAGTAGTGCCCTCTGCTGGTTGCCAGTTATGTTGATAGCAATGTCCTCCATTGCATGGGTGCATGTAGACTATTTCAAGTTCCTGCACTCTGCAAGTCCTTCAGTGTTGTGAACTTTTTTCTGAAGGAAGTATTAATATATTTCTAGTACTCAGCCATGAAGATCCAAGTTGATTTAAACCTGATGTTTACTTCCTAATTTCCTTCATCACCTCTTTCATTCCCTTTGATACATTGTCCCGTACCAAGCACCAAACCACATTTTATAAAAGCAAGACTGTTCTCATGATAAAAAAAAATGGTGCTGGAGAAACAAAGTTAACATTTTGAGTTCGGCATGGCTCTTCTTCGGAATAAGAATCGTATTGGACTCAAAATGTTAACTCTGTTTCTCTTTCCACAGATGCTGCCAGACCTGCTGAGTTTTGTCAGCACTTTCTGTTTTTATTTCAGATGTCCAGCATCTGTAGTACTTTGCTGTTATTTGATTGTTTTCATAACGACCTCATGAAAATAATTTCTAAACCACTTTACTTTTATAAGAATGTAAATTCTTAACGACACTCACTAGGCAAGAATAGTGGCGAAAACAACGAAAAAGTTCTTCAAAACGGAAAATACAAACTTCTTTAAAATGATTACAAAATTACAGCAAAAAAAACTTGAATGATCTCAGTGATAGTAAGAACTGCAGATGCTGGAGAATCTGAGACAACAAGGTGTAAGAGCTGGATGAACACAGC